GAACTCTTAAGGCATCAGCATACCAAGACATTTTGGACAATTTCATGCTCCCAACTTTGTGGGAACAGTTTGGGGATGGCCCCTTCCTGTTCCAACATGACTGCGCACCAGTGCACAAAGCAAGGTCCATAAGGACATGGATGAGCGAGTTTGGGGTGGAGGAACTTGACTGGCCTGCACAGAGTCCTGATCTCAACCCGATAGAACACCTTTGGGAATGAATTAGAGCGGAGACTGCGAGCCCGCCCTTCTCGTCCAACATCAGTACGAGACCTCACAAATGCGCTTTTGGAAGAACTGTCCAACATTCCCATAGACACTACCATTTGTCCATCGGCATCACCACATACATTTTTATTCTACGTACAAGCATGTGCAGTCCACAGTCCATTATAAAAATTCACGTGGTGCCGCAGAGAAACGTCAGTTTATAAACTTTAATTTTTTGGGATATAGAAGCCCTTTAACCTAAAATAAAATGTATGGTACCCATAATATTTTGCATTTGACGTGTATGTCAACCCCAACACCAGATTTCTCTTATTTGCTCCCTTTTAATCTTTTAAATATACAATTGGGGGTAATTTTGTTATATCAGTTGATCCTGTTAAAAGTCCTGCAGAGCTGTCTAACATACTCTGCAATACTATCTCCCTGCCCAGTTCTTTCTGTGAACTACAGAAAACCTCTTCCCCCTATGTTAAGGAGAGGGGGGGTATTCTAGTTCCAATACATTTTGTGTCCTAGGGTAACAACGCTGCTCCTCCATAGACACAGTACAGTGAGGAAGTGTTGTCACCCTAGGGCAGGAAGTGCGGCACTGGCAGGATTATAAATTGAATATAAAGGAAAATGAATATCTGAGGAAGAAAAACGAATGCAGCTACCACTTTTAAGGAATAGTAAGCTGCAATATATTTGTTCTTGGGTTTAGATACATTTAAACTAAGACATGAAAAGTATCCTTTAATGAAGGATGAAGAAAAGTCGTCCTTTATGCGAATGCAGATCCAAGCCATCCATTTAGCCGCAGCCCAGAAATTGTCCTCGGCATTAGGACACAGATTAATATATAATAATCAGCAGGAGGGAAGAAATAGCATTATCCTGCTGAGGAACACGATGATCAATAATAAAAGACGTATCCCCCAGGTATACACAGCAGTGCAGTGACATAGTAAACACTTTACTAGAGGATAACCTTTGTTGCTACATAATGTCAAAGACGCAAACAGTCTTTTATGTAAGATGTGTTATTATAAGGCGCCGATGTGCCGCTGTCTTTTATCCTGCGCTAATGCAGAGTTGTGACAGATTGCATTAAATTGTTGTGGAGCAATTTATATTCCCTTTATAACACGTTCTTATTTAATGACACATACATTTGTAAAGTGACTTTAGTTATCCTGTTTCCCCTCTAGAAATGGTCATAATGACATTAATAGGTTAGTGTTTTGTTACTAAGGGCCTTGAGATTGATTTGCCTATCATGCGCTGCTGGAAGATTCGCTACAACTTAAAACGCCTTCCCTTTTCAGATCCATCTGAACATTTGCCTCGAGCAGATCTGATTTACTACTGTTTGACTGATCAATGGAGTTTAGGTCTCAGGGTAACTAAACCCAAGAACAATTTTTTTATATATTGCAGTTACCAGCCCTGAGGTGCTGTGGCTGCATTCGTTTTATTTTATCGGGGCAAGGACATTTTCAGCAAGTGCAGAAAATATCTGTTGAAAGGCTGTGTCCTTGTCACTCGTGGGATGAAGTAGAAGTGTTATCTTTCTTCTGTCAACTACTAATCCACCCATCGTTCATGTAATGGAGATGATCAAAGGCAAACAAGTGTATAGTTCATCCTGGATGACAACCATGTCTACCTCCATAGATACAGTGGAGGAGTGTGGGTAGCCACCCAGGCAGGGCCATCTCCTTATTGAGGCAGCCTGGGGCTGTTGCCTCAGGCGGCATCTTTTTGTGTCACATGGGGGGGAGGCAGGCAGAGTGGCATGGCTGGTTGCCAGGAGCTGGGTGGGATGCTGGCCAGAGTGTCCCAGTTTTCTAAAAGTCAGGGGAAGATGCAGAGCCTGCAGAGGGCGGCATCAATCTCGTGCCTGGCAGCGATGTCTCCTATACCACCTCCACAGCTCTGATAGCGTGCACCAATCCCAAAAGAGAAGAAACTCAGCAGCAACACAGAAGCAATTCAAAAGCATCCCAAATGATTGCCATTCATGTCTATGTATAGAAACCCTAGGACTGTATTCACATGGGCAGCAAAACAAGTTATTTGGCAGCCACTTATAAATGGTGCGGCCAAAGGACTGAAATGAGGCTTAGTGCACTTGTGCGCAGTAAGGAGGCAGCACAGTGACAGGGCCCTTTGTTACTGACCCATGAGTTCTTCCTAAATCAACATTTGCAAACAAAGAGCCGAATGTCACTTTCTCTGTCCTTATACTAATACTTAGGGCCTCCTATACCTCCTGGGTGAGCATTTGACGGGTCTGCCACCATCTCCAGGTCATATCCCACTGGGGAATGATCCTCTTGGGCAAATACAAATGCAATCCACTTCAGTTACAGTTTAGTAACACTAAGAGGTCTCCTCACCACCCCTACCCTGGATAGTGAAATCAGCACAGTGATAAGCTCACCTCTCTGTCACTCTGCTCTCTCTTTCTATCAGTACGTTTCTTACACTGCTGCACAACTGATTGGTTCCTTATGCTGCTTTTCCCTTTCTTTGTTTACAAGGGACTTCAAGAGACTAATACAAAGTCTGATAGAGAGATAGATAGATAGATAGATAGATAGATAGATAGATAGATAGATAGATAGATAGATAGATAGATAGATAGATAGATAGACGAAACACCTTTTGGTAATTTTTACTTCTTTTCCAGATTGCCTGGATGGGGAACGAATTGCATCTAGCTGATGATGATGACAAAGGTGAGATTTGGCCAAGAACAACTTTTACTACGCTGTGGTCTCACTATCTATGACATGTTTTTTCCACAGCATCCAGTGCCTCAAATTGCCTGTGGCTTTTAGCTTTAATCCCAAGGATCTGTTAGTATTGTTGCATGCAGCCTTAGGTTTGTCCCTGGCTGTACCATCCAGATCTGCCCCAGGTCACCTCTTCAGCATTAGCTGGTATAAAGCTACCCAGACTTAAGGCAGGAAAGTCTACTCTTACTCTGACCCCATTTATATAGCTCGATCAATGTGATGTGCCCCCCTTTATAGACAAATAGAGAGGCAGTAGGAGCAGTTTAAGCCTCAGCTTCTTCAGCTTAAGTCAGAATTTGCATAAGTGACCTCCATGTATTACAGTACACAGTTAGGCTATGTGCGATCACATCTAGGGGTAGGCAACCTTGCTACTCCGGTCCATCATGCCTCTGCGAGTCATGCCTGTGGCTGCCAGAGTCTTGCAATGCCTCATGGGACTTGTAGTTCCACAACAGCTGCAGTGCCAAGGTTGCCTAGCTCTGCTTTAGCCTTTACAACAATTTTTTATTACAACATACCGTGCTGAAATTATAGCACTGTGCCGTTTTTTTCTATAAAGGATTTTTACATATGTTTTTATTACTACAAAAATAACCGTATAACCAGTACCCATTGTCTCACCCTGCCCACAATTTCCCTATTATTTTTATCAGCCCCACACCACTTTGAACGCCACCCACACCCCCTCCACTCACCCACGCTAATAACAACACATCATTGGTTAGTGCTGTGCTGTTTTACCACACTTGTGATTAACACAACCCATGAAAACAGCTTAAAACCGCACAACCTAACTGGCACGGAGCAGAACAATAGATGCAGCAGTTCTCCTGCTGGCTAGAGCTACATACATATACTTGGGCCTTTTGTAAAAGGATCAGTTCTGAGTTCTGCTGTTATGTCTAGCTCAGGAGTTAATTAGACGCTGTGCTAATAGCAACAACACAGCCAATTAAAGATAATTTCCTGCGGTCATATGAACCCTCTGGCAAGGGAAGGCTTCGCCAATGATTTGACTTGGGGTGAAAGGGTGAAGATCTATACAAAATACACCAAGTCAGAGGGACTTTCAAGACACCAGTAATATGTAGGACTGATCTCCTAATTGCATGACTCCGGAGTCAACTTTATTATTATTTTCATGGCTTAATTGCTGCTGTGGAAGCCTGTTCGGCATGAGCTGGAGAGAGTATTGAGTTTGAGGTTATTGCAGTGGCATTGTGTTCTACTGTCAGTGGGGCAGAGATGTTTTTTTTTAATTGTGATGTGTAATAACAAGCATATTTCTGATCTTAGATACTCATTTAACTGTATCGCATTTAATTAGAGAACTCATATTTGCCAACTCATGGAGATTTTTATCTTAAAGCAACTAAAAAAAGGAGGAGTAATGGAAACAGTAAGATCTAGGCTGTGACTGTGGAAAGGCCTGTTGCTTAAAGAGGAAATATGCCAATGTTTAAAGAGACATTGTCACCTTGCCCATGCAGTCACTGCAAAGAGCCCCCCCCCCAACCTCCTTATACTTACCTTACCTGTGGTCCCCCATTGCTCCTTTCTCCTCTGACTCTGAGATAATTCTTGGCACTTCCATATATGGAGGAACATGTGACCTCTTCCCCTAAGACCGTGCTTAGTTTTACAAGGTCTAGCAAAATGCAAGGTCTACACCGGAAAGTCTTCCCATGAGGTTTGGAATCCGCAGCTTTTGCAAGACCTTACCAGAAGATCTATGCTCGCCTATCACTTATGCTCTACAGGCTGGTGTAAGGTGGCCCTCCTTACCATCTTGTTTTGAATTGTATTGTAATTGTAATGTCTTCCTGATATTGTAAAGCGCTTCGCAAAAATAAATAATAATAATTTTGCCCGTTTTGTTCGTACATATAACTCTGATTTTTTTTTTTTTACATTTGAAGATCAAAACTGTTAAGCAGACCTTGCATTTTACATTTTCTTATATCTATTGGTGAGATCTCTATGTGTTCATAGGTCTGCACACACTTGTTGAGGGGTTTCCATGATCCCTGTTGGATTTTTTTTAATACGGAGAATGTAACAGGAGTCGGGAATTATTCAGACATATTTCACTGCCAGAGTATACAAGACGTATGAGAAACCAGGGGCTGACTCAACCTACTAGGCTTCACATAGAACTAAAATGTCACTTTTGTATGGACTGATCCTTTAATTTGTTTTAACCAGTATTGTGATTCACATACCCTTGCCTACCCAGCATGGTAACACCGCTGCTCATTATTGTTCCTTTCCGTATCAGCTGCCTGCTCAGGACTATGAAGATCAGATGGCTAAGGCTTTCTTTGTGCTCTCTGTGCCTTAAAATATAGTAGACTGGCAGCATTGTGCAATGCAGTAGGACCCAACTGGCTCACAGTGCAGAACCTCCTACTCTCATGTCTAATGTCTGTGTAGCGCTCACCCCCGAAGGAGCCGCTAAAAATGTAATGGGTTCTCTACCTGTTTGTTCCAGCCACCGGTCCCCTTGCTCAGATCCAGCACACTGACACTCCGATACAGAAACAGGCTCAAGTCTTAGGGTCTTTTAGGGTATTTATTTGCGGATTCAACAGGAGAGAGAGGGTTTAGGGTCTGTAGGATGCCATTGGAATTGCTTCAGAGGACAGCTTTCTCCCTTAGCAACAGCTAAAGTCAGTAGTATCGTGGCCCTATCAAAGCGACCAATAAATGAACAGTACAGCGTATAGCCAGGATAGCCCAGGACTTTGAGAGGAAGGGACTATCTCTGGATTCAGGTAGCAACAACTGGCTTCTTCTATAGCAATCACCTGGGAATAGAGTGAGGGGTCTCTTACAGGGTCCAGACGGTAGCTCTCACCAGCTCCTCTGCGACACTCCTCGATAAGACGACGCCACCTCCAGCCCAGCTTCCATCAGGTCTCCTTGCAGCCAGAACGGAAATCTCTGGGCCCTCAGCATTTGCCACTTGCTGAGGTGCATGCCAGATATCCAGTGGTGTATTCTAGTTCCAGGCGCCCCACACCTGCCACATGTGTGGGCCCAGCAAAGTATCAGTGTATCCTAGGCCTCCAGGCCCCTCAGAACCTGCCATGTGCTGAGGCCCAGGCCATTTGCTTGCATCACACAGACCTCCTAGGGCGAGGCCCCTAGGGGGAAGAAGAGACTTCTGCACAGTGTCCCCAAACCTTTTATTACCTGCCCTCAACCATGCCTCTGAGTCATCCTACTCAGGGATTGGCTAGGGTCAGGTGCATAGTCATAACCTGAGGATGGATCCTCCCTCACTGTATGCCAAGGCTCCCTTTTCCTCAGCAACAGGAGGAGCAATCAATCCAGCAGATTCAGGGACACCTAAAGAATGCAGAGCTCTGTATAATCAGTATCTAGACTGGTTACAGTCTAGGTATCTCTAAATTGAATAGCGACATTTAAGAGGGCGCTACATCTGTTATACAGCAAATTTTGGGAAGATGATATAAAAATACATTTTAAACTTGGCTAAGCTCCTCACTTATTTAATGACAACTGTCTTTACTTGAAAACCTTAGGATCAATGGTTTCATTGTACCTCAAACTATAGGTACTTTCTGGCATTAGTCCCCCGTAGAAAGGTAGATTTTGGTATTTTCTGGAGCCCTGGGCACCACACAACCTTCTGTACATCTTACATGGCTGACATTCCCTAATGAGAAATAGCAACCTTAATTTATTATTCCCTTAAAAAGACCATTAATTTTGTCATTGCAGATCAAAGTGACAAATTTGTCACTGACCCACCTATACTCGCCTTCTCTGCACTCATTTACCATTAGGAGTCAACAAAACCCTTTGAGCTAAGCCTGTGCACATAGCGTACAAATATACAGATTTGTGTTGGTGTGGATTGGGATTTTGAAAACGCCCATTTGATTGAAGAAGAATGGCTAACTATAGGTCAAAGCAAACAAAGAAGAAGCACACAGGACTTTTTTTCCATTGCACTGCAGAGTAGGTCATTGGTGTAAACAGACTCTACTAAGTCAGTAAATTTATCCAGAGCTGGAAAAGTTTCATGTGCTAGAAAAATCAGGTCAGCTTAGGGTCATGAAAACTTACCTAAATCGAACCTGTCCAAGCAGGGCAAAGCAGCAGGTTCACTATAGTGGTAGCCCACCAGCTGTTTATATTGCCTTTTTTTTCATTGCCCTGCATCTCTGTTATGCTACAAGTGAAGAGAGAGGGCCCAGGAAAGAATCCACTTGGAAGCCTTGGTAAGCATCCACTTAAAAGTCCTGGTAAGCATCCACTTGAAAGTCCTGGTAAGCATCCACTTGAAAGTCCTGGTAAGCATCCACTTGAAAGTCCTGGTAAGCATCCACTTTGAAACCCTGATGAGCATCGACTTGGAAGCCCTGGTAAGCATTCACTTTAAAACCCTGGTGGGCATCCACTTGAAAGTCCTGGTAAGCATCCACTTGGAAGCCCTGGTAAGCATCCACTTGAAAGTCCCATTAAGCATCCACTTGAATGTCCTGATAAGAATCCAATTGGAAGCCCTGGTGAGCATCCACTTGAAAGTCCCATTAAGCATCCACTTGAATGTCCTGATAAGAATCCAATTGGAAGCCCTGGTGAGCATCCACTTGGAAGCCCTGGTAAGCATCCACTTGAAAGTCCTGGTAAGCATCCACTTGAAAGTCCTGGTAAGCATCCACTTGAAAGTCCTGGTAAGCATCCACTTGAAAGTCCTGGTAAGCATCCACTTGAAAGTCCTGGTAAGCATCCACTTTGAAACCCTGATGAGCATCGACTTGGAAGCCCTGGTAAGCATTTACTTTAAAACCCTGGTGGGCATCCACTTGAAAGTCCTGGTGAGCATCCACTTGGAAGCCCTGGTAATGTAACAGTCGACGGTTATGTCTAATGCGGATCTCAGCTGCGGAGTCTGTGTGAAGTGTAATGTTTGGGCTCAGTTTTGCGGAACCCCAATGCACTCAGTACCAAGGGGAACCGTTACACATCATATACCCCTATTCCTATGTGGTGGAGATGTATTACCCTGGTGCTATAGGAGGCAGCAGGATCTGGAGCTATCAGTCTCTGTAGTTTGGGTTGGAGGAAGTAGCAGTAAAGAGTTGGAAGTAGATCTGCATATGTAACCGGTGAATAGGATCTTCCTACAGCTAGATTGGATTTGGGGTAGGAGTATAAGCAATACAATTGGTTACTTGATACGTAATTTGTTTGTCTGTAGTTGCAATGGTTTGAGAAATGGTAGCATCCACTTGGAAGCCCTGGTCAGCATCCACTTGGAAGCCCTGGTCAGCATCCACTTGGAAGCCCTGGTCAGCATCCACTTGGAAGCCCTGGTCAGCATCCACTTGGAAGCCCTGGTCAGCATCCACTTGGAAGCCCTGGTCAGCATCCACTTGGAAGCCCTGGTCAGCATCCACTTGGAAGCCCTGGTAAGCATCCACTTGGAAGCCCTGGTAAGCATCCACTTGGAAGCCTTGGTCAACATCCACTTGGAAGCCTTGGTCAACATCCACTTGGAAAGTTCTGGCTATGCATCCACTTTGAAGCCCTGGTCAACATTCACAAACTTGGAGTTTACACAGAGGGAGGCCTTTCTTATGATATCTATGTTCCCCTATAACCGGAAGTACATGTTATTTATCTTTACTAGCAGTGGCTGAACTGAGTGCAGTTGAGTGAAGAGAAGACAAGTATAAGCAGCTGGTGGCCGCCATTAAAGTCAGGCTCTTGCTTTGCCCTACATGGTCAAACCACGTTGTTTTCCTTAAAATTACAACTAAGAGTAGATAAATTGATCTTTCTGGGCGCAAATGACATTTATAAATGACAGCTGTAAATTTGTCTTTGTGTTTTCCTCTTGTTTGCTGCTTGCAACAGGCACTTCCACAGAGCGCTAATGGCCTGCCAGCTAGTGGAGATAGAGTCTGCTTTTTCATTGGTCCATTTATAGTGCAGACACTTTATATCCATTTGTTCTGACCGGCATGTTTTATATAAAGGTTCAAATAGCCTTTTTCTGAAAGGCGCTAAAACAAAATGTTCTGGAGCATGTTAACGAATTCACAAAACCGCCGCCGCTTCACATTCATTTGGTCTAGTAGGCATTTTCCGACCTACATTCATCAAAATAAGACACATTTTTAAGTCATGCTAAATTTTTATGTTTTCAATTCAGCAAAGTGCATTCGAATGTATTCCCGTCTGTTCATTGGGGATACAGGCTTTCAAAGGGAACTAAATAAAATCACAAACAAACATTCCCGTGAAAGAGCACTTTGAATCATTAACAAGTATTAATGCATAGGATTCTGTACTTAGCAGGACTTGCCTGTATTTTACATCTGCATGGGCTTCCTAAAAAGACATTTTTGTAACACAAGTCCGGGAGTAATTAGTAGAGGTGCACCGAAATGAAAATTTAAAAACCAAGACGAAACCAAAATGAAAAAAATTGTCAGGCCGAAACCGAAAATGTTTTTTGTTCTACAAATATTTTATTTTTATTTATTTTTTATAAACTTTTTACATTCTTAAATATTTGTTTTATTTAATTATTCATTTTTTATTAAATATTTTTATTTTTTACTTTACTTTTAGGGGCTTCGGGGAAATATTGGGGGTCTAAACAGATCCCTGATATTTCCCTTTTTAAAATATAAACAGAGATTGAGAACACAGAGTCCTCAATCTCTTTTTCTGCAGCCCTTGTTATGAATGAACAGCAATCCTCTATACTGAGTGTTCCTGTTCATTCATAACATGAGGACAGAGTTTGATTACTATAACCACAATCATGAATGAACAGGAGGGGATGTAGATCACTTCCCATTCATTCATAATTGAGGATATAGTAACCATACTATGTCCTCAATTATTTACAAACACTCAGCGATCACTGACTGCTTGTGACAGCTGTCACAGGAGGCTGGGCAGGGCAGTGCGGGAGGAGAGCTCAGCCTCCTGTGACAGTGATGCTGGCTGTCTCCGCCCGCACCGCTCAGCCGCTTGTCACATATCAGGAGTTTTATTAAAGTCCGGAGGTTCTTCTTTAATAACTTTTCACCAAGTCCACCATTTGGACCATTTATGTATTGACACACGGTGATCATATCCCCTCAATTGCCTCCTTTCAAGAAAAAACAAAATCAGTGCAGCTAATCTTTCCTCATAGCGAGCTCCTCCTGTCAGTTTAGTTGCCCCTCTCTGCACTCCTCAGTTACAGCATCCTTTTTATGACCGGGAGCTCTCTTTAACCGCGGTCACAGTAAAAAGCGACACCGTATGTGAGAGCGCCGAACAATGCCTACCTTCATACTGCCACATACTGTACATGTGTACGGAAGGGGTTAATAAAGTGAAGGCGTTCCTCTGATTTCTTGTAGGGGTGTCGCAGAGATAGGAAGTAAGGGAAGTCTTCTCAGTGGGTCACCGGCATAAATGAGAACCTGACAGACCTTTAAAGGAGAACTATAAGGTGAGTGCTTTTCACTCACCTCATAGTTCTAGCCGACCTGTGACAATGAGACTGTCACAGGTGGGCTCAGTAGATCGGGAGGTGAGCGAACACATACCGGCGTTCGCTCACCTCTCGATCCTGTCACGGCTCTCTACCGTGACAGGGGAGGGGCTGGATTCCCCCCTCCCCGCTCCGATCCGCCAGCGCTGATTGGTGGATCGGACGGGGGAGGGGGCGGGTACAGCTAACTCTGCCTTTAGATAGGCAGAGCCAGCTGTCACTCACGCAGCTGGGCAGAGCCAGACATAATTGTTGGGATCCGCTTCAGCTGCGGCGTCTCAGTATACCGCAAGCAGTAGCTCGCGGTACACTGTGGCATCTCAGTATTCCGCGTGCTGTAGCTCGTGGTATACTGAGCTTAGGGTGACGGGAGGACGCTAGTTGGTGTCCTCCCGTTACCCTAAAGAGAACTATGGGGAAAAGCCCTAACCCCATAGTTCTCCTTTAAACTCTTCAGCACTCTATCTAAAACAAGAAAAAAAATTAAAATTGGCCGGTGTTAGGCTTTAATCCAAACACAGTACAATCAGCGATGTCTAGGCTCTCAGCTCGGTCTATCTACAGTAATTTATATCCTGAGCCTTGGCTTGCTTTCTGCATTTCAATGTCTAATGGGATAAAGTGAACCCTTGGCCTTGTGTGAGATAGGTTAACTGAGAAACCACCATTAAGGTGTCTGAGGTGGACTGGATTGGAATTTGTCTACTACTAGAGCGTGAAATGGAACAGGATCAGACAGCTCCGCTCCTGCTAAGGGTCAGAGGTCCTATCTCCAGTCTAGACATTATTCATGCTGGGCCAGCCATATTTCAGGCCATCTTACTGAGAACCATTTCCTATAGATGAACTATTAAGCATTGAAGAAAATCTATATTATTATTGTTTTTTGTTTCTCTAGATTGTTGTATATGTTCAAAAAATATTTATTTTTAGCAGACAAATATAATAAGGTTACATCAGTTTTTTCATATTTACCACTTGAAGGCAGCAGATGATGAGCTTCAACCAAAACTAATGTCTTCTACATTTTTTATTACTCTGCAGCCAAATATAACTGAAAAGGGGGAGATTTCAGATTATTATTATTATTACTTTATTATTATTATTATTATTATTATCATTATTATTATTATCATCATCGCCATTATTATTATTATTGTTATTGTTACATTATCACTATTATTGTTATTATTATTACTAAAATTGTATTACTATATTATTAGGGGTGCACCAATACCGGTATTTTGGTACGGGTACCGATATATTTTTTTCTCGCTCATCGCCGAATGCTTCCTGATTGCCCGGGAAGTCGGCTCCATGCTCTCTGTCACAAGTGACGAGGGAGCATGGAGCCGCTTCCCGGCCAATCAGGAAACCAGGCAGCGTGTAATGACGTACTGCCTGGCTTCCTGATACAGGAGGTATTGGGCTAGGCATCGGAGCATTTGGGCGAGTATGAGTATATCGATACTAATATTGGTATCGGTGCATCCCTAATTATTATTGTTACTATTATGTTATTGTTGTTATTATTATTACTATCATTTTTATTACTATTACTATATTATTAATTATTATTCAGGGTTTATATAGCAGTTTGCACAGCAATTTTCAATATAAGGAAGACAATACAGTTACAATACAATTCAAGACAAAATTGTTAGGACTGTCCTGCCCCTGAGAGCTTACAATCTTATTTGAAGCTGAACTCCAAGTAAACAGCTAAATACATATAGTATATGGGAGCTGTCATAGAATGTGTATTTCTGTCCATCCAGCTCTGAGATGTACACAGACACATCACACAGCAGACCCATCCTGATGACCTGACATTTGTTTTCTTTATTTTCACCTGGTGATCCTCCAAATAGCACACTTCCTGTCCTAGGGTGGCTACGCTCACTCACTCGCCTGTATGTATGGTTGTCACCCTAGCCTGCTCTCCTGATTTGGGCTACAAACACCTCCCCACTCTTCATCTCCATCACATGGAATGAAGACAGGGTTGTTTTGTATTTCAGCTCAGAACACGGCATTTCTGGTCAAATTGAAAGGTATTTTCTGTCCTTGCTGAAAACTCTCTTAGCCTGAAAAATGGAAGCAAATGCAGTCACCACAACAGTGACTACAGTAAGCACATTTAAGCTGCAATACATGACATTTTTGTTCTTTGGTTTAGATACACTCCTAGTCCTAAAATGTATCCCCGTAAACCCGAACCTTACACCCTGGCCCCAACAATGAGCTAGAGCAGGGGTAGGCAACCTTGGCACTGCAAATCCCATCATACCGCTGCCTCTTCTGTCAGTCTTGCAGTGCCTCATGGGACTTGTAGTTCTACAAAAGCTGAAGTACTGAAGTTGCCTGACCTAGGACTGAAGTAACCCCCTTTTCTTTGCATCTCAGTGCTGCTGATCTCCTTTAGCCTCTTAGCCACTTCCTGCATGCTCACACTCCAGCATAGGCTGCACATCATTGCTCTGCACCAACGTCCTGATAGTGACAAAGGTGGAGCATGGCTGCTCATTGTGTGTCAGCATGGCACCTGTAGTGTCAACCAGGAGCACATGTCACAGGATGACAATTGGGAGACAGTTGTCACCTCATAGTAGAAAGTACACGAAAAAGGACTTTCATTGAGGGATCACCAGGTATTACTGTAACCGCCGGGGACTTGCCACTGTACATAAACGGCCCGTCCGCAGCCCCATTGTTCTGGGAGGATGTACCTGTGTATGACCTGTTCATTTATTTATCTAGTGAACTAGATGTTCTCAGCTTTGACACCCAGCATCATTCAACTTGGAAGACTGAGGACATCCTGTCAGTACAGGGCGTCATGGGCCCACTTTTTAAGGATCTTTAGAAAATGCTGCATATTTTAATTGTTTTTAAACAATCTTTAAAATGACAGTAACATGTTAAAGCTCTTATTAGATTTCAGCGATTGGATTTATATCTACGTTAACATCAGACAGCCAAGTTCATTATCAGACTCATGTAG